TGCTACAGTGAATGCGCCATCTTTTTGCAAAACCTGAGTAACACTTGTCGCTTTACGATCATATATTATGTTCATATAGCCTTTTAGCTAAAACCCAACTGCGTGCACATGCTTACTGTGATTTACTAAAAACTTTTTCAACCAAACCAGTACATAGATCAATCCAGAAACAGCATGCGCTTTGAACTTTGTAATCTAACCTTTTACTAGACTAGAACTCATCGGAACTATACTAAGACCATTCAGAAACCCCTCAAAACAAATTCTCAGAAATTTGTTGCAGAAATCTTGGACAGTGCGAAACTAATAGTACTCTGGAATATAAGTTGCACTTTTATTAAAGAAAACCCACTGTAAAACGATATTCGAAATATAAAGTGTTTTCAATAAAAAGTCACCTGAAAGTTACAAGGCTCAAAAAAGTGACCAGCAGACTAGTAAAAGATTTATTTGCAAAAACGCGCCCTGAACGTCTTAAAGAGTCCAGAATCATTATTTAAAAACAAGAATATAAGATGTCGTCTCAACGTTTAGCTCTCTAACTTTCGACTTTTGAAAAGGAGCTTACCGGAGCTGTTGAAGCTGTATCAGAGAGATCACCATAAGCCTCAGCTGCCCACAATGATATTGCACAACCCGTAATAGCTCCAAATGCCGTTATTAATTGAACACTCATTGCCTGAGAAAATAAAAAAGAATTAACAAAGGAGCTGAGTACTACGCAGGAAGAATGCACTTATATTGTGCTTTGCAAACCTGCAACGCAAGCGAACAAAGAGTTAAAAACCAAACAAAAAACTAAAATTGCTCACCTTCTTCTTTGAAAAACCTGACTGCACAAGAATAGCAAAGTCTCCGATCTCGTGAGGTACTTCATGAATAAGAACAGTTACCATTGTAACCACTCCAATAGTAGTTCCAGCAAGATACGAAGCTCCAATAGCCAACCCGTCAGTAAAATTATGAGCAAAATCTGCTGCCATGTTCAGGTAAGCTGCCACTTTGATACTGGTGTGCGGATTCTGAACCAGTTCTTCCTCCTCTTTATCTCCCTTTTTTTTGTCCTTCTCTTTGACTACTGCCTCATCGGGATCCTACAAGTTCCAAGTTCTCATAAACAACCAGTTTGAGAGATCTACACTAAATAACGTAAGGTCTTCAAAAAACACAGTAAGAACCTCTTCAGCAGAAGAAACGTCTGATAACTTCTCCTTTCTAGATTTTTTTTTCAAGTCTACTTTCTCTTCACTCTTCTTTTTCCGATCAGAAGCTCGCTGCCCCGAACGAGGATCAGACTGAGCATGTGAGTGCGAATGTGAATGACCTTCTTCACCGCGAAATATGCGAACGATTTTTTCAACCGTTAGGAATGCGAGGATACCAAAAATTATCTTTATTATAGCGCAACATCATTTGAAAAGTCGGCTGTCTTGCAAATTATAAAAGTGAACTAGGTTTTCAGCCATAAATCGAATGACATCAGCAGTCACTAAAAAGTGATGAAAAAATCCACCAAAAATTTACCTGCTAGTACAAAAGTTCCGACTTGCATGTCATGAGGTGCGTGAGCGTGACCATCTGCATGTGAATGGGTTTGTGCATGTGAATGTGCATGCCCATCGGTAGTCGGCTGGGCATGTGGGATAAGATGTAAGAATGCATCACCTAGCAAACCACCTGAGCCGAAAGCCAAAAGTACTTTAAGTAAAGGTGCGCTTTCCGCAGAGTTAGCCTGGAATAAACTAATGTGACAATAACTCGATTGAACAGATATATATTTCTTTAAAGCGTGTAAATTGACGTAGATTACCTGTACTGGAATAACTGACAGAATGAGAAACGGTGCAATACTAATTAACAGTGTTGATCCAATACTGTAAACCCATAGCCGAGTGCGAATGTCGTTGAGAAATGCAAGAGGCCTGTAAGCATTAAAAGACAATTAGTACTGGTATAAAGTTAATAAAAAAATATGTAGAAACGATAAAAAAAATCCAAGAGAAACTAACCCATTTGGATCATAAGGCGTTACTGCCGACAATTTTTCAGTTTTTTTTGTGTTTTTTTGAGAGCCGCTACTGCCATGACTGTAATGCTCTTTTTCACGACTATGTTCCGACGAATGATAACCACTCTGAAAGATGAAAGATAGTCCACTAGGACGCAAGTCCTCAAAAAATGATATTTATAGAAAATTTGTCAAGTAAAACGTTGATGAGATCCTCAAATCATTTATGTCAAAAATTTTCCAACTGACCATATTGTCAAATGCCCAAAATAAATATCCCAAGAAAGAGGAATCAGCGAACAAAAGAAAGAAAAAAGCTATTTGGCATATAGATTTAGAAAGTCAAACTCGACAAGCCTTATTAAATTCATGAAATAAAGGAACAAGAAACTACCTCAACATGACTGTGAGCGTGGTCATGACTGTGATGACTATGACCGTGATTAGAAGTACCTTCATGAGAATGTCCATGATGTATTTCCGGCTCCTCATAATGGCTGTGCGAGTGCACATGCGCCTGAAATTATAGGCAGATAAAAAGGCACACTTTCTAGAGCACAACTCCTATATTTTTTCCGCTGTAAATTACGGGAAATTGGCTTTCCACTTAGAAAACAAGAGCAATTTTAGATGGATTTTAAATATTATATGAACAAAGAAGATGGCAATGCATTCTAAACGAAAAGTGCAACTGGAATCACGAACAATGACTGAAACAGCCTATTAAACGAGTAAAAACCTCGTCGTGAGAATGACCGTGATGATGGTGAATATAGTCGTCTCCACCGCCAGAATGATGATGCCCATGCATTTTTATCTGTTGGGCAGCCTGAAAATTACAAGAGAAAAAGCAAAAGTCAGTTAATTCACTAGTGCAAAAAATCAAAATCTGTGATAAATAAAACAATAGTTAACAATAGTTAAGGAAGAAATTGAAAAAAAGTGTTCCAAAAGCTTAGGTATCTACCTACTTCTTCGTTGGCTTCTCTTGTGTACTTAAAATGCGGTGCACTTCGAATGTCATCGACATGGCATTCAGATAGAAGCACGACATTCACGAGAAACGTAATGCATGCGAACAGGCTCAGTCTAGTCATGGTTGCAGAGCTAACTGAAATAAAGGATAGTTCTAAATAGTATGTAGGTCTCGACCTGAATTTTCATTACCCGCACAATCGCCTGTCAAATGTACAGTTTGTATTCGTCTTTAAATTTCGAACTGATAATAACAAAAAAAAAAAGGTGGGTGAAAAGTTCACCAGTTATCTTAAAAGTGGAAAATAAAGTGGAATTGTAATTTAAGAATCAAGCTGGAATACAATACAGGATCCAAATGAAGCTGGCATAACAAGGACACAATAACAATAAAGTTTATTAAAAGTCAACCGGTACTTAAAAGGTGAAGAAAAGGGGTTAATGATTGAGAGGTGAAGAGAAAACAAAAAAATTTAATGCAAGTTATATAAGTTTCTTAAATACTGTTATTTGATAGTGTTTTTATTTCTAACTTCCAAATAATAACACTAATGTAACTGAAACCATCGAAACCCGTTAAGCACCATAACAAGCGGCTTCACAGTGGAGCAACTTTACCTTTCCAATTTTCCTAATACAACTGCAAAAGGATGAAGCAAAAAATCTTTTTTCATTTTTCAGACAAAGAGGGGATAAAAAAAGAAGAAAGAAACCAACAGTGGAGTGGTAATCCCCGTTCATTAAAATCCATTTAAATGTAACAAAAATCAGCATCGCTTTTTAGCTTATTCCTTTCGCAAATTCTATATTTACACGTATCGGTCAGTAAATTGAAGTTTAGTAGTGCCAAATCTGAGGATGAGAAGCCACTTTAGAGTGATTATTACCGCCGACTGTAAACGTCAATTGCGCAGCTCAAATAGTTACTGAAAATAAACATGAGGTTTTTTTTTCTACACGGTGACACCTGGTGCTTAATCAATTTTGTACAAATAAAATCTAAGCCCACGTCAGCGATACAGCGTACAGAAGTCCATAGGATGACCAACACTGATTTATAAAATTTGAAAAAAAACATAGCTCTATTTAAGTGAAAGAAGTAAAGGTGAAGAAAGAAAAAAACCAAGGTAAAATGAAATGGAAATGCAAAAATTTCTTAGATAGTCTCACTTAGAGAACTTCGAAGGAAGTAAAACAAACAGAAGAGAAAGAAAAAAAAAAAGAAAAAGAAACAGAATCAACAAAGACATTCTTTTGCACATCAAATGCACAATTCAAATCAACACAACTTTTTCCTTTTCACACTTATAAACAAACTGAGCCATAAAGGTATATTCATTAAGCAACTGGCCAAAAAAAAAGAAATAGAAGAAATCAAAGTTTTTCCTCTCCAGTTGATGAACAGTAATTATTCATCACAATATTCCTTTCCAGCAATACAGATGATAATAAATGTGCTATTAAGCCGTATTCTTAACGACTGATACAATCATTTATGTAGGAAAAAAAAAAAA